ACTACTGAGAAGGCCCTCTGCCTGGTTCCCTGTAACTTCGCTTCTCACAGTGAAGGAACCGCCAGAAGGCCCTCGGCGCTGGACCTCAGTGTCTGGGCAGAACGATATACTGGACCGAGGCCATTTAGGGCTTTAAAGGTCAGCACCAACACTTTGAATTGTGAATCCATGAATGAATCCATATGACCATTTCCACAAAAAGTTGTGTTTTGTTTCCTTCCATGCATTAGGGAAATGCCAGTTTTGCCATTTTATGACCGATAAGATTTTGAATCTTGAACTTTTTGTACCCGCTGCCTTTGTGGGACATATTCAGGAGAAGAAAAGGCTAAGGAGTAAACCCTATACAAATCCAGAGTCTATAAGACAGTTGGATGGGGTTTTCTCTGCCCCCTTCCAGCAACTCCTGCCACCAAGCTGGTGCCAAACATCTTGCTCTGCTTTCCTTTGGACCACATCGGCAAGGCCAAGGGGGGGGGTCTTGCTGTCTGGGAAGCCCATGGCCTACATACACATTGCCCAAGCTTGCGCTCCAGAGAGGTCACTTGGGTGCTGCTAATGCAGCAAAAACAATGTGGGAGGCAGCAGTTCTGAGTTCCTGGTCTTTGCAGCCACAGCAGGTGCTGTGATTCTCCAGTGGTTTGACTTCATTCCCGAAGGTGCACTCCATTGTCTCCTGAAACAGATGGATGCCAACAGGACATTTTGAATTTTAGGCTGTTTTTATAGCTTTATTATCTTGTATAGTACAACAAGTCACGTGTGCTGAGCATTAGCCAAAGCTGGAAGGGGCAGCTGAAAGCCTGTCCACCCACAATTTTTGGCTTGGATACCAAGGCCAGCCAAAAAGTGTAGAGTCCTGCTCAGGGACTGTTAGCTGTATATTGTCAAAGTCTATTGCATGTAATGTATCAAATGCTTCATACTATTTCATGTCAACTCTAAAATACTAGCGGCATGAACTAGGGTTGCCATGTTTCAAAAAGTGAAAATCCGATCACAAAAGTTGTTGAGTTTTCTTGGCAAAGTTTTTGAGCTATTTTAAATGAAATCTGCCAAAATCTACACTTATGACATGGGTTGCCGTACGTCTGGATTTTCCTGGACATTTCAGTGATTTCTGCCCGGACACTGTTTCCGATGACCGAATCCCAGCTATGTCCGCGAAGTTCCTGACATATGGCAACCCTTTGAATGAACAATGTTTGTAAAAAACAACAACAACGACAACTATCAAATATTGAAATGACGACCAGGTTGACTTATCAAGTCCACTTACACGGTACATCCTGGAAGAACAAATAAATGCACAGAGACAATGAGGTGAAGCAAATTGGCCACACAAATCCAACTACACATAACAGAAAAGTCCCAGCTGAATGCATTTGAAAAGTGGAAAAAGTTTTCTAGATTAGCCTCTAATGCAGTGCATTAGCTGTTTGCAAATGGTTTGCCATGCTACAGTGATCAAAAAGAAGTGGAAGAAGCAGTATGACAGCACTTGACGATAGCACCCCCTTCCTCCCACGAATTAATGCTGATCAGGGAGGAAAGTGTGGGAATATTCAGGGTGGCAGAAGAGGATATATTGTTGATTAATATCCTTCCTAACTTGCGCTAGCAAGTTCCTTTACTTAGCAGAGTTTACATTCCCCTTTTTACATGCACAGCAGATAGCTGGTTGCAGGCTTGTGTAAGCCTCTCACTATTATACAATTCAACCTGTCTCAGATTGAATTGTACATTCCTGTTAAGTTCCCTTGAATCCCTCTTAAAAGAATAAAGACGCGACAATCTTAATCATAAGTCAATAAAAGAAGTTTACTTACATCAGTTCACAGCTGGATACCTGAAGGCAGACCTAGTTACAAATATGTGCATGTGGATCTACCCCATATGGGGGAGGTGATCTCAGTGCTTCTGCTAGCTGAGAGCTAGTCAAACGAAGAAGGAAGTGAAAAAGGAGGGATGTGTGCTGCGTGACTCGTCCTTTTGTTACCTAGACAGGTTAGGTCACGACCACCTTCTATCACATGCAAAAGGAAGGATGCTCCAGCCCAGGAGGAACAGGAAGTTTTGACTGGCTGGACCAAGTTTCCCCTTGCATGTCCACTCTAGGAAAACAAGGAATGTTGTTTTTGACTGCTCCCAGTGGATTACATCCCACAGAAAGGAGTACAAGAGCCAAGAGCCTGCATTGTTTTGAAGCATGGTTGATGTAGATCTCTTTCTTTTAAGGTGGGGCTCAGATACAAGAATAGAGTTAGCAACAGGATTTAATTGCGGCCAAGCTGCTCAGACAGCCCAGCTTCAGACCCCACGAGATCAGTGGTGATGTCAGTTCTCCCATGTCTGAGTTAGGCCACATCCCTGCGCATGGGGGAGAACAAGGTTCAGAAGTTCCGTTCTTTTATGTACGTTTGGATTTGTTCACCTAATGTATTTCCCATATGAGAGCCAACAAAGTAGGACCAGACAAGCGAAGTGCAATTAAAAGGAATAGAGGTGCGTATGACAAAACCTACATAAGGAAGTGCCAGCATCCCTCTATGAGGTAAACCCCTCAACTCTTTGGTTTTTTTGAAATAATTTTTATTTGATTTTACAAGCGTAAGGTTATAACAATACCAAGTACATATCCATATATAGAGATTTCTCTGAATCTCCAGACTTTCCACCCTCCGCTCCGTGGGTCCTATTGTCAACATTTTCAACTGCATATTATTTTATAATCTACATTTTGTATCTCTCCATATTGTCCATAGTGTCTGTTACATAACTGGTGTTATTAGAATCCTGCTAATGTTTTCATCTGCTTACAGTGGTTTCCTAGATAAGTTATCAATTTTCCCCATTCTTTCTTAAAGTTTTTGTGTCCTTCGTTCCTGAGCTTTCCTGTTAGTTAGTTTTGCCATTTTTGGCATATTCCAACAGCTTGATTTGCCATTCCTCTCTGGTAGGGACTTTGTCTTCTTTACATCCCTGGGCTAGTAACATCCGTGCAGCTGTTGTCGTGTACATAAAAAGTCTTTTCTTGTCCTTTGGGGTGTCAGTACCTACAATTCCGAACAAAGAAGCTTCTGTTTTTTCCCACCAAGGTTATTTTTAACATTTTTTAATTCATATATATATATATATATATATTATAACCTGCCCATCTGAGCTGCTTCCAAACGAATATTAAAAACAATACAGCATCAAACATTAAAAACTTCCCTAAACAGTTGTCTTTTAAAAGCAAAATAGCTGCTTATTGCCTTGACATCTGCTGGGAAGGAGTTCCACAGGGCAGGCGCTACTACCGAGAAGGCCCTCTGCCTGGTTCCCTGTAACCTCACTTCTCACAGCGAGGGAACTGCCAGAAGGCCCTCAGAGCTGGATCTCAGTGTCCAGGCAGAACAATGGGGGTGGAGACGCTCCTTCAGGTATACAGGACCGAGGCCGTTTAGGGCTTTAAAGGTCATTTCCCAGAATGCTTTTATTACCTTTCATGACCACCACATATGGTAAAAGGTACCTTCTTTTTCTCTACATAAACCCCTCAGCTTTTAATGTAGTGCACTATGCAGTCAGTGTAATGCAGTCCTTTAGTTTGTTGCTATCAGGGGCAGAGAGACAAGGGAAATGCAATTAGAGGAGTTATTTGACTTGTGCAGATAACATTGTTGTCATTCTTATGAGGTATACATAAATAACCACAACAAACACTCTTTCATTTCACTGCTTGCTTTTATACTATTTAAATCTTAATTTATTTTGATTTTCGCCCAAAATGGGCACCTGGACCTTGGTTTCTGCAAGACGGAAATAGATTTTGACCCTTGCCACCCGACCCTGCCATCTGAAATCTCACAGCTGCTCCTGCGTAGAATGCCACATTGCTAGCCTGAGATCACTAGATGAAAGAGCTACAGGAACATAACTTTGCAGCTCTCAAAAATACTGTTCTTTGCAAAGTTTAGGGCCGGCAGTTGGGAAGAGTGGGCCCAGAAATTTTGTTGGCACCCCTGAATTGAGACAGAGTCCTTCTCCTCTGGACTTCACACAGACACACAGTGAGAGTACTGTTTTATTGTTCCAGTAATATTGTTCCTGCAATCATTCTTCATACATCACTCATATATCCTATTTACACATATAACTCTTCACTCTCACAGACAATTCTAAATCCCAGAATCTATGCTGGAGCTTTTGGCAAATTGTAACTTACATTTCTCCGTTAATGGTAACAAGGTATCACTTTATGGTATGTACTTGTTTATTTAATCCATACATGGTTATTAAGTTTTCTTTTGTTTGTTTTGAACAATGCAAGTTTTGCAACCTGTAGAATAGAAATATTTTCTATCATTATGGGAAATGTTTGCATGCATAGTGAAGTTAAAAAAAATTGAAGATCGGATAGCAGACAGTTTGACAAGCCTGCTGAAGTACTTTGAAACAAGATCACTAGATGGCAGCAAGTGGTTGCTCTTTCAAAAGAGACGTGGTGTCTGATTCAGTTCCTCTCTGAAGCGTTACCACTAGTCGCACAACTGCAGAGGTACATACAACATATTCAAGAACTGCAAGCACGCTTACGTCCACTAAGTCCACTGTAATGGAGAAGATTTGCTTCTGCATAGAGGGCTTTAGCAGAGTCTCTGTGAAATTTATCTTAAAGTGGAACTCAAGTCATAGCTGAGAGCATCTGAGGAATTTTCTGAGCAACTAGAAGAGCTTCGATAAAACTACCAAAATTCACAGGGTGTTTTTCCACGTTTATATCAGGCTGTATAGGAAACCATAATTCAGGTTGTTAGTCAGCAGGGCAGCGATCTGTAGTTCACTAGGAAGAGGTGAGATCCTGTCTCCAAGCAGTGGGCAACTCTAGGACTAAAGAGCTGCCATGGAACAGCACATGAATGATGATGATGATGATGATGATGATGAAAAGACGGTTTTGTGTTTTTTTTAAAATAATTTTTATTAAGATTTCAATAAAAGTTAAACAGAAGAACTGTCAGGGAACTGCCATCGGACGGAAGGGAGGTGAAAGGGCTCACACAGGTTGGGAGAGACTCAGCAGCTGAAGAGGGAACCAGCAGGGAGGTGAAAGGGCTCACACAGGTTGGGAGAGACTCAGCAGCTGGGAAGAGGGAACCAGCAGGGGGAGAGGAGCTGAGCTGGAGGGATGGCTCAGAGACACTTCCAGCGAAAACAGTGGGGAGGTTTCAGGACCTCCTGTAAGAACACCCACTCCTCGCCGGAAACTGTCACGCAGAGAGTCCAGAAGACGTGTTTCCGTTAAGGAGCTTTTATGTTGGAAGCGATTACGAAAGCAACCACTGTCGGAATCTGCTAGTGACTAGAGGAGCCATGTCTGAGGGGCTCCGTCACAGACAGAGGTTTGTGGACTTGAACAAACTCTGAGGGGATACGATTTTACGCACAAGCAGCTCATCATCCCATCACAGCATTCCGACAGTCTTTGAAAGCAGCTTGTGCAGGAGAAGGCATCATGAGCAACCCAGCCGGAACCGGAGAAGCAGGAGCTGGAGCGGGTCCAAGCCTGGAAGAAAGGTACCGGGTGTTGGAGGTCCAGCTAGCGATGCAGACGGCGAGGCTTGAGGAGAGGAGGGCTCAGGATGCAGACAAAAAGGGGAAAGCCACCCAGCTCGCCAGAAAGGTACCAGGATTGGTGCAGAAGTTTGGGGGGGAGCCCAAAACTATCATGGCTTTCGGACAGAAATGCAATATGCCCTCAATCTGCAGTTTGATGAATTCCCTGACGAGGAATCACGAGTGGCTTTCGTGATTGAGCATCTTGAAAAGGGGGCGAGAGACTGGGTTAGACCCCTGATGGCAGCGAATAGTGACGTCCTAAAGGACACGATGAAGTTCTTTCGCGCCATGGATCTGATGTTTTCCAGCGATATTGAACAGGGAGTGGTGCGCAGACAGTTAATGGCTTGCAAACAGGGGAGCCGATCTGTCCGTGAGTACTGGACTGAGTTCACCATGCTTGTTCACAGATTGGGGTGGGACTTATCGGCGGAACCCATTCAAATGCTCTTTGAAGAAGGGCTTTCTTCGGCTGTGAAAGACGAACTTTCCCGGGCGCCCAGGGCGGAGTCTATGGACCAGCTGACCAAATCAGCGCTGACCATAGGAGCGCGCCAGGAGGCGAGAGCATTGGAGAGGCGGGAAGGGAAAGGGGAACGTTGGAAGGAGTTCCGCATTCCAGACATTCCAGAGCCAACTTTCCCGCCGGCAGAGCCGATGGAAATCGGAACAGCGCGCGCGCGCAGTTTCAAAGCCCAGTGAGGGGGAAAGAAGGAGGGAAAAGGCGCCCGGAAATGCTATCTCTGCCAACAGCCAGGTCACTTTGCCAGAGTCTGCCCCCAGAGGAAGGAATGGCAAGGGATGGTAGGAGCTGTGGATGGAAGAGAGGAAGAAATACCGGAGCAAGTAAAAGCCAACGCCTGGCTGCCACTGTCGGGGCACAGCAGCCAGGCCAAAGAGCAGTGAGAGTGCCCACGCCAGAACCTCCTAAACCCGCCCTAGTGATAGAAGTGACGCTAGAGCTGCCAAACGGACACCCTCTAAAGATAAAGGCGCTGTTGGACTCAGGCAGCTCCTGCAATTTCATGAGCAAAGAGTTTGCAGCTGAACACCAGATACAGACGATCCCTTTAAGCAACCCCCTGCAGGTGACCACGATCGATGGCAGGGAGCTGTTGGGAGGAGAAGTCAGCTTGCAGACCGTCCCAATGATAATGAAGGTAGCAAGGCACACCGAACTGATAGCTTTTAATGTGGCCACCTTGGGAGGAGCTCCCATTATATTGGGGATGAGCTGGCTAGCGTTACATGATCCGCTGGTGGGCTGGCATCAGAGAGTGGTTTCTTTTGGTTCAGCACATTGCTTAGAACACTGCAAAGAGGGAAAGGGTTTGGCAGGGGCCCAAGCCACCCTAGCAGGGACTGAAGTAACGGAGAACGTGAAGGTACCACGACAATATGCAGATCTCCGTGACGTCTTCAGCGAAAGGGAAGCTGACCAACTACCCCGCATAGACCCTTTGACTGTCAAATCAATTTACTCCCTGGAGCACAGCTCCCTGTAGGCAAGCTGTACGCCATGTCAGACAGAGAGATGCAGGAGTTAAGAGAGTTCATTGACAAGAACCTGAAGAGAGGGTTCATCAGAGAGTCCAGGGCGGTGGGGGCAGCCCAGTGTTTTTTGTGGATAAAAAAAACACGAACAAGCCGAGGCTGGTGTGTGACTTCAGGGCCTTAAATGCAGTGTCAGAACCAGTGGCCTTCCCTATGCCCAGGATTGACGACATTTTGACAAGGGTGCGGAAGGGAAAGATTTTCACAAAGCTGGACCTAAGGGGGGCGTACAACCTGGTACGAATAAGGAAGGGGGATGAATGGAAAACCACTATGTTCACCCCTTTAGGGGCATTTGAATATTTGGTTATGCCCTTCGGCCTACAAGCAGGCTCCGCAACATTTCAATCGTTTATGAACCACGTCCTGGGGCCTTTGCTTTACAAGAATTGTGTGGCCTTTTTAGACGACGTGTTGGTGTATTCTGAGAATGAGGAGCAGCATGTGAGAGACGTCAGAGAAGTGTTGAGCAGGCTGCAAGCCAACCAGCTGTGGGTGAAACTGGAGAAGTGTCAGTTTCATACCAAGGAGGTGGAATTCCTGGGGTATCGCCTGTCAGACAAGGGATTGGCCATGGATCCCGGCAAGGTCCAGGCGGTGCTGGAATGGAAAACACCCAAAACAAGGAAGGATGTGCAGAGGTTCCTAGGATTTGGGAACTTCTATCGTAAGTTCATCCGAAACTTTGCCCACCTGACGGCGCCCATTACGGACTGTCTCAGCAGTAAGAAGAAGTTCGTTTGGACTGAGGAGGCGGAGCGAGCATTTGAGGAACTAAAAGGGCCTTCGCCTCGGAACAACAACTCCTGCATGTGGATTTACAAAAACCGATGAGAGTGGAAACTGACGCATCAGACAGAGCGATTGGGGCGGTGCTTCTGCAGCCAGGGAAGAAGGAGTCAGAGTGGAGACCGTGTGCCTTTTTTTCGCGAAAGCTGAACAAATCCGAGAGGAACTACACGGTGTATGACCGAGAACTACTAGCCATTCATGAGGCGTTCCGGAGATGGAGGCACCTGCTAATTGGCGCACAACATAAGGTGCAAGTGTGCACTGACCACAAGAACCTAGAGTATTGGAGGACGGCACGAGTGCTCAACCAACGGCAAGTGAGATGGGCCCAGGAGTTCTCCAAATTTAACTTTGAGATTTGTTACGTGCCAGGCCCAGAGAACATTAGGGCGGACGCTCTCTCACGCAAACCTGAATATTTGGAGGGGGAGGGAGCACCCGAAGAGAGACATGTCATTCCAGAGGACCGCTGGGTGTGTGGGGCGGCATTGGTGGGACAAAGAGAACTGGTAGAGGAAACAGAGAATGATGAATACGCCCAGAATAAGCTCAGAGGTCTTAGGGGTGAGGGAGAGGAACCAGGGGTTTCGAGGAAAGAAATGGAGCTTTGTATTACAAAGGGGCACTGTATATCCCTGAAGGAGAGTTAAGGGGGAGGGTACTCAAGCAGTTGCACGACAGCCCTACGGCGCGGGCATTTTGGACAACACAAAACCATGTGGTTGGTCACCAGGGAATTTTGGTGGCCTAAGGTGAGGGAAGATGTACGTGAGTATGTAAGAGGGTGCGAGCAATGCCAGCGAGCCAAAGGGGAAAGGCGGGCGCCGGCGGGGCTATTAGAACCCTTACCAACCCCAGAACGACCTTGGGAGGCAGTGTCGATAGATTTTATGACTGATCTGCCGAAGTCCAAAGGGAAAACAGCCATCATGGTGGTGGTAGACCTACTAACAAAGATGTGCCACTTTGTAGCTTGCTCGCATGCAGTCACGGCGGAAGAGACAGCGGTTATTTGTAGAACACATTTTTAGGTTGCACGGGGTGCCATTGAGGGTGGTCTCAGACCGAGGAAAACAATTTACTTCCAGGTTCTGGAGGAAGCTCATGAGCTTACTGCAGGTGGAGGTCAATTTTTCGACTGCCCGGCACCCTGAAACCAACGGGCAGGCGGAAAGAGCAAACGGTGTCCTCCAGCAATACCTGAGGTGTTATGTCAATGACAGAGAGAATGACTGGGTAGAAAAGTTGGCGCTGGCGGAATTTGCCTACAACAATGCCGAGAATGTGTCCACAGGGATGAGCCCCTTCTTGGCTAATTATGGGTGTCATCCCAGGGCTTTCCCAGGGGGAGATGGGGAGAGATGGAGCGTCCCGGCAGCCGAGCATTTTGTGGAAGAAATGGAAGCAATCCATCGTCAGCTCCAACTCAACTTAGAAAGGGCGAAGGAAGAATACAAGAGGCAGGCAGACAAGAACCGAAGGGAAGGTGAAACCATAAGGGTGGGAGATAGGGTGTGGCTGTCAACCCAAGGGGTGCCGTTCAAAGGAGGTTGTAAGAAATTAAGACCCAGGAGGTTGGGTCCCTTTGAGGTCATTCAACAGGTCAACCCAGTGGCTTTCAGGCTCCGGTTACCCAACCACATGAAACTGCACCCAGTATTTCACAGGTCGTTACTGTCACCGTACGAAGGGGGACGAGAAGGGATGGCGGACCGGTCATAGAAGAAAGAGAATGCAGCAGCCATGTGGCAGAAATCCTCGACGCCAGGTGGAAGGGGGATCAGGTGGAGTATTTGGTAGCGTGGGAAGGAGAACCGGAGTCAGAAAACACTTGGGTAATGGCCGAAGATATCAATGACGAGGTATTGATAGAAACGTTCCATCAAAGGTTCCCAAGGAAACCTCAGCCTGTGGAGAGGTTCCGGAGGGAATACTTTGGGACCACTGATGAGGGGGAGGAGTTGGAAGGATTCCCGGACTCGGAAGGGGAAGGGGAGATGGACTCTGAGGAGGAGGTGTACTTCGAGACCAGGAACCGCAACAGGTGGAGAGAAGTGTTCGAGACATCGGAAGATGAAGGAAGTTCATTCCGGGGTTTTGCCTCCTCACCGCCCGTAGAGGAGGGGGCGAGAGGGGGTGAAGGGGGCCCTGGAGGGGAGGTGGATGTCAGGGAACTGCCATCGGACGGAAGGGAGGTGAAAGGGCTCACACAGGTTGGGAGAGACTCAGCAGCTGAAGAGGGAACCAGCAGGGAGGTGAAAGGGCTCACACAGGTTGGGAGAGACTCAGCAGCTGAAGAGGGAACCAGCAGGGGGAGAGGAGCTGAGCTGGAGGGATGGCTCAGAGACACTTCCAGCGAAAACAGTGGGGAGGTTTCAGGACCTCCTGTAAGAACACCCACTCCTCGCCGGAAACTGTCACGCAGAGAGTCCAGAAGACGTGTTTCCGTTAAGGAGCTTTTATGTTGGAAGCGATTACGAAAGCAACCACTGTCGGAATCTGCTAGTGACTAGAGGAGCCATGTCTGAGGGGCTCCGTCACAGACAGAGGTTTGTGGACTTGAACAAACTCTGAGGGGATACGATTTTACGCACAAGCAGCTCATCATCCCATCACAAGAACATAAAAGTAGAAATACAAAAACACACAATACATAATCCAAAAAGAAAAAAAACACACAGAAAACAAAATACAAAACAAAAACTAAAAAGAAACAGAACAATTAAAAACAATATCACTTTTCCATTTCCGTTTTTGAATTTACTTATTTTCTGGACTTCCTCATACCTCCCTCTTTTGTATTCCAGTCCAAATTGTTTGTCCAGCAATTTCTTTTCCACTTTTTTAATCCCAATCTTTAATCTTAATATAATATATAACACTTAAACTTCTTTAATCCTAATCTTTAATCTTAATGTAATATAACATTAAATTTTTACCTCTTAAGTACCAAATTTCCATTTCCTTAAACATCTTTAATCCTAATCTTTAATCTTAGTCTATCAATAACTTTAACCTGTACAGCTGGAAACCACTTATTTTCGATCCAACATCACTCTAACATTCTTTAATTTTGCAATGTTTCTGAAGATAATCTTTGAATTTCTTCCAATCTTCCTCCACCAACTCTTCTCCCTGGTCACGGATTCTGCCAGTCATTTCCGCCAGTTCCATATAGTCCATCAGTTTCATCTGCCATTCCTCCAGCGTAGGAAGTTCTTGTGTCTTCCAATACTTTACGATGAGTATTCTTGCTGCTGTTGTTGCATACATAAAGAAAGTTCTATCCTTTTTTAACACCATTTGGCCCACTATGCCCAGGAGAAAGGCCTCTGGTTTCTTAGGGAATGGAAAATTTAAATACCTTTTTTAATTCATTATATATCCTCTCCCAGAAAGCCTTAATCTTTGGGCATGTTTTTGGAAGGCACCAGACCCTCCAAGTGTCCCTATTTTCCATGGACAGTCCCAGATTTACAGAAGGCGTCCTGGTTTCTGATTTGATCCAAGAATGTCCCGCTTTTCCTTAGGGTGTCCCTATCTTCATTGGAGAAATGTTGGAGGGTGTGGAGTTATCCAACCCCTGGCCATCTGGAGGCAGCCCTGTATAGAGAAGTTTTTAAATGTTTAATGTTTTATTATGTTTTATATACCGTATTTTTTGCACCATAACACTCACTTTTTTCCTCCTAGAAAGTAAGGGGAAATGTCTGTGCATGTTATGGAGGGAATGCCTATGGGTGGCATGCCTACAGATTTTCCTCCTCTAAAAACTACGTGCGTGTTATGGTTGGGTGCGTGTTATAAAGCGAAAAATACGGTATGTTGAAAGC